ACCTCCCCCTGTGCCTCCTACAGCAAGTCAAACCCTCACAAGCAGAGCATTTTTTTCCTAGATGTCCAGCCTTTCCTTAAAAAAAAAAAGACAATTTTTTACAATAATTCCTTCTTAATGGCCCAATTTAAGCGATATCCATAGCGCCGAGGCTTTCTGACCCTCAAAATGAGCTTTTTGCTTTCAGCTTTCATTTGCGGGTTTTTTTTTCTCACCTGAGAACCTGAGAGTCTGCTGTGGTCCCACGACAAGCCATTTACTTGCTTGTTAGCACGATAAAAAAAAAACCAAAAAGCACACGCGCGCTGACCCTGGGCATGCTTTTAAAAGCAGTTTCCCAAGGAACTTGCCAGCCCGAAGTGGATGCCTGGCACAGAGCCTGGACGCAACTCATTGCAGCTCCCGCGGCAGAGCCGAGTGCCATCCACCTGTGCTTACCTTGGGCTCGGCAGAGGAAGGAGAGGGAGACGAGGAGGAGAAGGACGACATGCTCCATGGCTGTCCCAGGGAAAGGTGGGAATTGGCGTGGGCGATCAGGGCAGGTGCGGGGCAGGGATCAGCCCCAGCTCTGCATCCGTTGCCCCCCGTATCTCCTGGGAGCCCCCCGGCTGGGCTGCGCCGCTCCCCAGCTCCCTGACCCCAAGGCGCGGGGGTCTTTGGGCTGGGCACTGCTGCCCGATGGGCCGAATCCTGCTGCTGGGGGCCACCTCTGGCCTGCGGTCAGAGTGCTGGGCACGTCCGCACGTTACAAAAAGCTGCCACATAGCACTCGATGCAACTTCTCCTCCAGAAGCAAGCTGCAAAGGGAAAGCAAAACCCCAAAAAAACACACCCCCCCCCGCCCTAGTAATTAAAATTAGTTTCCTCTGAGGTTTGAAGCCACCCTGCCCTGCAGTTGCGCTTGCCGGGGCAGCTGGCACCGCGTCCTTCCCCACCGCGCTCTGCCCCGCGGGGACCCCGGCATCCAGCCCGGCGGAGGCTCGTGCTGGGGGGGGACAGCGGGGGTGAGAGCGGCAGCGCGCGGGAGATCACACAGAGGCGGAGGGTGCGAAGGAACCCGAGGAACCGCAGGCGGGAGAGGAAGTTGCTGCCGGACAGTTGCCAGCTCTGAGGAGTTTTGCACCTCTCAGGCTGCAGGGAGCTCATTCGGGTGCCGTCCAGAGATGCGCCAGCATGGGGGTCTCTGCTGCCCGCCGACACGGTTGGTGCTGCTGTGCCTGGTGCTGCTGGCCACGGTCAGCGGCCAAGGTGAGGAGGGGACGCGCTGCCGGGCTCGCCGGGAGCTCGCTCAGCCTCACGGTACGGAGGGGAGGCTGGTGGTGGGTGAGCCCTGCTGCCTGCACTGGTGCCGGCAGCGGTTGCAGGCAGGGCAGGAGGGATGCATGGACGGGGAGATGTTCCTGCTGCCTGCCTGGGGAGCTGGGTGCCGGGGAAAGGCTGGCCGTGCTGCTGGCACGAAGGCATCCACAGGCACCCAGACCGGGGAGGGCGGTGGGGTCCTGGGCAGCAAGCTGGGCTCGGGGTGCCTGGGGAGATGGAGCGGGGCTCGGTGGGCTTTTTTTTTTTGGCTTTTCTTCTTCTTCTGCCCAGAGTAGATAGAGCGGGGATGGCTCTCATGCAGTGCCGGTTCCCTTTTGTGGGCAGCGTTCCTACCCGCAGCACGCAGGGCTTGTCCAAAAGAAGTCACTTCCCTGCCCAAGCGGCACCCACGCCCCCGCAGCCGGCCTTGACCTTTCCTGCACCCAGAAATGCAGCTTTTCAAGGCCAGGTCTCTCTGCTGAACAAATGCAGCACCATTCTCCCACGATTTCAGCGGAGCTGGTGATAGCTGAGGGTCTCCTTCCTAAAAACAGTGATTTCTGTGTGCGGGGAGTGGAGAAATGCCCGGGTTTGGAGGCCATCTTGGTGGCCGGAACATCTCCCCATCGTGCCACCCTTCCCTGCTCCCGGGGAGACCAGGCGAGCATCACCTCCGCCTTCCCTCTCTTGCCACCCTAAGAGGCATCTCCCAGCCCCACGGCCCACCCTGATGGTGCAGGGCTGGGGAGCACTCGCTGCTCCGGGGTGCACAAGATGGGGTGTTGCTTGCTTGAAGCAACAGAGCCTGCAGCAACCATGGGCTCAGCTGAGCTGCAAAACCTCCCTGCAGGTGCTGGCATGGGTAACCCGCAGCATGCTGCGCCGGCCTGGCCCCAGCGCCCACGCTGGGTGTAGGCAGTAGGTTATGATCATGCCTCCAGGCTGCAAGGTGTATTTTTTCATTGTTTCTTCCCCCATTCTGCACACCCACTGCCCCGGCACCCTTCCTCTGGGGCAGCTCCAGGAGTGGTACCAGCCAGGGTGTTAAGGTGTCCTCATGTCTTTCTTGCAGTACCAAATACCTGCAAAACAGTAGTAAGTAATAATCCCTATTTCTTGCAGGTTGTTTAGTGCCTGGAATGGTGGGAAGGGCCCCCTTTGTAATGAGCCGCTGGTCCCAGGTGTGAGCCATCAGGGCTGGGAACTGATAAATAGTGCCTGCTCCTGAGCCTGCTCCTTCATTTCCCCAGGGGAGGATGCTTCTGCTTTTGCTTGCTCTGGCCTCTCGTATTCCTAGATCTGCTGAGTATAGTGATGTCCCCTCTGCACCCCAGGGTTTGGTGAGGGCAGGCATCCTCATGCCTGCAGCCTTGCAAAGACAAGGTTCAAGCTAGAGCTGCTTGAGATGCCCTGGCCGCGCCAGGAGATGGCAAAGCTGGTGGCTCCGCCGGTGTCCCCCGAGCACGGCTTGGTGTTCAGATCGGTTGCACGGAGGCAAAGCCCTGCTGGGGGCTGCGGAATGGGTGAGCTAAGCCAAGCTCCCGGAGGCTGACGCTTGCCTTGACGGCTGTGCAAGCCAGGCTTTGCCGAGGACTGCAAGATGGGTGGTTTGTGTGGGGCTCTTTCTGTGCAAAGTCCACCCACGGCTGAGGCAGCCCCCGGCGCTGCCCTGACCACACGCAGCCGTGAGGAAGCGGCGAGGCTGCATGCACGCTCAGCCCCGGCGGCCGTGGTCCTTTGTTTATTTTAGGGGCTTTTTTATCTTGCCTCTGCCAGAGCCCTTAACATCCGGGGCTGCACTGAGAAGAGGGAGGCAAGCACAGAAATTAAAAAAAAAAAAAGGGTCCAGTGGGTTTTCTGTTCCCCAGGCTGGATGGGCAAGGGAGGAGCTGGGGCACAAATGAGCGAGCAGATAATATGATCAGAGGGCCTGCAACCATCCCTGCTCTGGGCGGGGCAGAGGATATTGCATGAGCATCTGCAATGTGTGGCCAGAGCTGTGGGTGCGGACAGACATGCAACCAGCCTGGGAGGGTGCAGAGAGAAGGGTGCCCCCAGGATGGGGATGGCGATGGGGAACCGGGCTGAGCTCACCCCCGGGGAGCAGGGGGGGCTGTGCTGGGAGCTGTGGGTCTGCGGCATGAGGGGGCTCCAGTGGCCATGCCCCCTCCCCAGCCACGGAGGACGCCTGCGGCTGCAGCCAGAGAAACCCCTGCAGCGGTGGGCAAGGGCCGAATGGAGAGTGAGCCTGGATGCAGGATCCCGGCACCGGATCCTGACGGCTGAGAAGAATAACACTGATGTCACATTGTCCGGGAGTCCTTTTCATGGGAGAGTGGATTTCCAGCAGGACACCCTGTCCCTGCGGATCAGCCCTGTTAGCACGGCAGACAGCGGGGTCTATCGGGCAGATTTTGAGGACACATCAGGCCATGTTACCAACCTGTGCTTCCGTGTGTCGGTGTGGGGTGAGTAGCCGGGTCCCCATCACCCCGTCCCCCTCTCCCCCCATCCCCTCTCACTGGCTCTGTCCCCGTAGAGCCTGTCCGCCAGCCGCGCCTGGAGGCACGCGTCCTGCACTGGGAGCAGAGCTGGTGCAACCTCTCGCTGGACTGCACCATGCCCAGTGCCAGCAGCATCTCCTACACCTGGTCCTGCCCTGGGCATCCCCTGGGAGCCCTGGAGCACCAGCCCTGGCTGCACCTGCGGGTCCGTGGGGACGCCGACCCCACCGTCTGCCAGTGCAACGTGAGCAACCCGGTGAGCTGGAGCACGGCCAGTACCAACGTTTCGGCAGCCTGCGGCCCTGTGCCCTCAGGTAATTTGCCCTCAGCTTTGTAAAAGCAGGATTTAGGGGGTGTGGAAGCTGCACCACTTCTAGTCCTCTCTTGGGGCCCTTCATTTCCCTGCCTGGGCCAGTGAAACTGTGGAGGACGTCACACTGACACCAAAATGTGCCTAGCTTCCCCTCCTGGGAAAGGAAACACGCTCATGATAGCCAAGCACGGGTGATGTAACCTGGACTGAGGTTTCCTGGCCAGGTCCATCCTCTGCGGGCTGTGATATTGTGTTTAGAAATGGCTCGAGGCTCTGTCCTACATCGAAGGTCCCCCCTTCTCCTCTCCTTCCTCCCCAGGGCTTTTCGACATTGTTCCATGGTGGGCAGTGGCCGTGTCCCTGGTGCTGGCACTGGCCACCGCCGTAGCCATCGTTGTCACCTGCTACTGGTGGAGAAAGCGAAGAAAGGTCTCCTCAGAAGGTTTGTCCGCACAGGATGGGTGGCCGTGGGGTTCTGGCTGTGCAGCCCCTGCCCTCCTCCTGCCTGCTGTCATGCTCCGTGCTGGCCCCGGGGTTCTCCCTCCTCCTGGGGCTGATGCGGGATAAGCCACCGGGCACTGTCACCCCCTTGCCAGCTGCTGCACAGGGCAAGAAGTCTTTGCCTGTCCCTGCTGATGCAGGCTGGTCCAGGTTGGTGAGCTAGATGAAGCATCCCAGCAGCCCGAGCATTGGTGCCCAAACCTGGAGGCCTCATCCCATGGGGTCTAGAGGACTCTTTGGGTTTGGATATTCATTTTATTCTGAGCTGCAGCATCCTTCCCCACCCCCTGCCAGGTGCCAACAAAGTCAAACCTCCCAGTTGCCAAGGGACCTCTTTCTCCTACTGCTTTGCTTTGCTTTGCTTGAGGGCTGAACCCCCCCAGTCTGGGGGCTGTAACACGTCAGCCACCTTACATTGGCCCTTCAAACTCCCCCAGGACCCGACGGGCAGATGCTGACCGTCTACGAGGAGGTGGGCAAAGCCCGAACCAGCCAAAACTGCGTGAGTGCCGGGGGTGTCCCTGGGCGTCCCCTCCCCACGCTGCCTGGAGGGATGGGACCTCTGTTTGGAAATGTCTGTCACTCCGGGTTGCATCCTTTAACGAACCTGGGCTTCCTTTCTCCCCCAGAATGGGACCAGTGGGGCCATCGTAGAAGGAAACACCATCTACGCTGTCATCAGCAACAAAACACAGGTAGGGTCAAGTCCTGTGCTGGTGGGGGTGACTGGAGCAGCCCCCAAGCTGGATGCATCTATGGCACCTGCCAAGACCACCCCTTTTGCCCAAAATTTGTTTTTCTTTGCACATCTTGACTGTTTTTCCCTAGCAGGGACCCGTCTGCCCTCAGGAACCTGAAAGCCGCACCATCTACTCTACAATTCAGCCCACCAGGAAGGTGAGGTTGTCCTGCTGTGACCCCGGCCTCTCTGCAGCGGCACAGAAACCCACGTCCCCTCGGTTTGTCAACCGGGTGCTGGGTTCACTGTCCCGCTCGTGCATTGCCTAAGGGCAAGTTCTCACTCTCCTCCACAGTCTCCTTCTCTCAGGAGGAAGAGGCTGGACCCAGCTTTGGTTTCCACTGCCTATGTAGAGGTAACAGGCACCGGACCGGTGGGGAGATGAGCCCTGGGTATCTCCAACACTCATCAGCTTTTTGAGCCTGCGGTGTGCTAAAGCTCACCCGTTTCCTTGCAGCCTACAGGGGATTCTAGACCCTGGTGCCCCCCGTTGCAGGCCTCACCCCCAGCTCCTGTTGGCCACCACTTCTAGTGCCCTAGCTGCCTTGGCAAGACCTTCCCTTCCCTACGAGCCTCTTCTCCTGGAGCACCCAAAGACCTCCAGCAAACACCAAGGCCCCGCCTGGCAAAGCCAGGGGCTCGCTCGGGATGGAAATGGTCAGACATGGGTTTTTCCAAGGATACAAACCCCTGCTGTGCCTTGGAGTCTTTCCTGTGAGGGAAGAAGGAAAGACTCGGTGATAGAAACGTGTCTTCCGAGGAGATGGATGTGAAATTGGACGGGCAGGATCATGGGGGAAGAGGATACGTGTGACGTGTGTGTTTAGTGCCTGTGTTTTGTGCCTGTGTTTTGTGTGATCCTGTGGGTTTTTTAGTGTGTTTTGTGTGATCCTGTGGGGTTTTTTAGGTCTTGACAGGTCCAATACACCTCAGGAATTTCTTATTATGTGCAATTATAAGCTGAACTGCATGAGGCAATCGTGATGCTTGTTTAATTAGCTTCATTGGCTCTTTATAGCCTGAAATGTACCTTGGGCACAGGGAGGGAGTGGGAATTGCCTTGTTTGTGGCTCGGGAACCTCTGAAGCGAATGGGGTCTCACATGGAGATGCACTTTGCAAAGTTTCAGCCGTGTGTGTCGGGTAGGGGAGAGGGTGGCCATGGGCATCAGCTTCGGACAGTCCCTGCACCGGCTGGGCTGGGCACGGCCCTGGGTGCCCCGCGGTGAGCTGAGATTGGAGATGCCGTCACGTCCCTTCCCATCTAAGTTATCCCATGCTCCTACAGCACAAGTGGCCCTGGGAGAAGGAGGTGGAGAAAGAGGGCCTCCAGCTTCAAAGATCTTTCCAAAGGCAAGATCAAGGGCTTTTCTTTGGGATTAAAATGAAATGTGGCACTTTGATGGCAGCATGGGGAGCAGCAGCAGCTCCGCAACGCTCCCCTCCCGCCCGAGTCCCTGGATCAAAATAGCTTTGTGGCTGCTCCCTGTGAAACGAGCATTAATTGGGATCATTAACTGGGAGCTGCGCTGGGAGGCTGGCACAGGGAGGGAGGGGGTGTCTGGCTGCCACAACGAGGGAATTTAGGGGGCCGGGCTGGTGCGGATGGGGGCTCAGGCATGGTGTGCCGGCACTGCTGCTGGAGTCGGGTTGATTTACACCATCCCAAGCCCATCCTCTCCTTTTCACGATGTGCAGGTGTGAGCTAAATACTTCTTGCACTGTAAGAGCATCCCCCTCCTCACGTGGCAGTCGGCATTGATGGAGAAGTGGCGGGGGGCCTGTGGACAGCTGAATTTGGTGGGAAAAGTTCAGGCATGATGGAGGGAATGGAAATCCTTCAGTGCGGGTGCTGGGGATGTGGTGGCAGTCCTTGCTGGGCTGCGGATGCTGCCTGGGAGCAGGGGCTAAAGCAGGAGCTGCATCTCAGCCCTTTGCAGCCCGAAACGCCGTCTCCCTGCGCTCCTGATGAGCAGAAACGTCTGAAGGCGACAGCACGGAGCCTGGGGGCTGCTGCATCCATCAGCGCGTTGGGCTCCTGCAGAAGCCATGCTCCATCACAGCGCTGTAATTTATGCTAATGATCTGCTTTTGCATATTGGAGATAATTTGCAGTGCTCGCTGTGAGCGCTGAGGCAGCACTTTTCTCCCTGCCAGGGAAGTTTGCTTTCCCATCTCTGCTGGTTTCTACCAGCGTGGTGTAATCGGGCACGGGGACAAGCCAACAGGTGCTCAGCACCGCGGTGCCACCAGATTGGTGCCAGCGATCCGGCCACAGCATCATCGCATGGCTGCTGGAGTGCTCGTACTAACGTCTCCCCACGCTGACATCGGATCTCCTCCCCGATGGACGGGGACCACTCAGGGCTGGAATTAAACTGGGTCAGGGCTCAGCGGGTGCCGCCGTTCCCCTTTGTTCACGGCCAGGGTCAGCCCCCGTGCTCCTCGCTCGCAGCCGGGGCGGCGCGTGGGAAGACACCGGTGGCCGTTTGCCCCCAACGTGGGGGCTGTGCTTGCTTCACCGCCGCGTGCATCCCTTGGCCGGTGCCGAACAAAGGCTCTGAAATGATGTCTTTCATGAAGGAATCCAGGCCGTAATTAAAATCCTTCGTTTTAAGCATCTGCCCTGGTTGGCTGCAGCATGTGCTTTAGCATCAGCAAATCATCCCGCCCATCTCTTCCCCAACCACACCACTCACCTGCGTACCAGGGTCACAGGGACACCCCGAATACTGGTGCCAGTGGTCCCTGCTCAAGCTGGGGCTGCTCGATGGCGCGTCCGGGGGCCAGACCTCGACAAGGACGCAGACCCGGGTTTGTAAGTGGAGAAATGGGAACGCTGGCTCAGGGGGCCCGTGGCTCAGCGTTGCTGCGTGAGTTCTCGCCAACGCCCCTTGCAAACCGTTGGTGTTGCATGGTAGCCTCTGGGCGGGTTATCTAGAGAGCAGCCCGGAAGCAAAGGAGGAACCTCCGTGGGGTGGTGGGTTCATGCGCTCTCCCAGCTGAGGAGCCGCCCTGCAGAGCCCCCCCAGCCCCGGGTTTCGGCACGGTGGCAGGGGGCTGTGGGACTGAGGGGGTCCTTGGTGAGCAGCTGCCTGGCGAGGGGGGATTTTGACCCCGGGGTCTGGGTGTGGATGCAAAGACAAGATGGCGGTCGGGCTTACAACGGTGCTCTTCCTCCTCTTCATCACGCAAGGTACGGCGACGGGTTCCCTTGGGGAGAGGGTGCTGGGCTGGCAGGGAGATGGCTTTGGGGACGGTGGGGGACCCTGGGGATGTGCCCGTGGGTAAACGCTTCCTATCCCTGCTCTCTTCGCCAGCTTTTCCTATCCCGGCGCGGTGCCCGAGGTGTGACTCACTGGCTCCCTTCCCGTGGGAGCCCCTGGCATTGCCAAGCTGGGGGTGAGGGGCTGCTCTGGGTGAGCCTGGAGGGGGGAGAGGACCCCAAAAATGAAAGCGAAAGAACACTGGAGGATCTGAGCGGTCTCGTGCTCGGGGGGGGGGAGGCAGAAATTCTGCCGCAAACTGTAGGTCTTGTCCTCCGAGGCCAAGAGAGAGCAGAAGCGTTAGGAATTAGTGAGCAAATGGGTTATTTGCATTTTCCATGTGTCTGGGAGGATTCAAGGTCCCCAAGCAGGGCCGGGTGCCAGGGAGGGGTGGGCTGCGTCTGGCTGGCCAAGCAGCACCGGTCTCCGCTTTCTTAGCAGCCTGGTCACAGCAAAGCCCATCATTGGCAGTGGTTGGGACCGTTCACGGGGTGGTGTATCTCAGTCCCAGCCTGCAAAAGCAAGAATCCTACCACCAAATCCACTGGCGATGCAACAACACGGTGAAGATCGCCAGCCGGGACAGCAAGGGGAAGGTTTACTACCCCAACAGCGCCTACAAGGGACGCGTGGAGCTCTTCCCCAACAACACCCTAAAAATCAGCTCCCTGCAGAAAAGCGACAGCAACACGTACTGGGTGTACCTGGAAGACGACGTGGGCAAGGAGCACATTGAAAACATTCTCCTTACAGTGTATGGTGAGTTGGGGGACGGGAGGGTTGTGCCCGTGCCCCATGGGGAGACAGGGAGGCTGTGACATCCCGCTGCCTCTTGCAGATCTGGTTCCGAAGCCCACTGTGAATGCCAAAGTGATCAGGGGTGGCTCACCCTTGTGCGATGCCATGCTGGAATGCTCAGTGGGGCTTGAAGGGGTGACCTATGAGTGGATCCGCCTCAGCAAACCCCCACTGCAGGGTCCGGGTACCTCTGAGTGGCATGTCTCCTTCGACCCCTCGATAGAAGCCTACATCTGCAAAGTCAGCAACCCTGTTTCCTCCAACAATGCCACACTGACCTACAGGCACCCCTGCTCCTGGACAGGTACTGCCTGCTATGCACACATGAGATGGCAAAACTCGTGTGGGATGGGCTGCAAGGTGGCCTCGGCTTTGGAGGGTCCCCGGAGCAGCGGCAGTGACCCTGAGGACAGCGGGTCCCTGCAAGGCTGGAGGTGGCCCGTGGATCAGTCCCTTTTCCCCCTGTGCCGTGGGCTGGTGGGTGGCAGGACTCCCCCTGGGGAGGGGGTCGGGGGGTCCCCTGCCAGGGCCGGCCAGCCCACAGCCCTCCAAACGCCCTGGGTCTCCCTCTGCCTCCAGGTGAGTCCTCCGCTGCTGCATTCTGCACCACCACCAGCGTGTTGGTGGCCCTGGGACACCTCCTCCTCCTCCTCCTCACTCTGGCTTAAGGACGCTCTGCAGTTGACATCTCTCCTCGTCTCACCACCCCACGCCGTGGGACCAGCGCCTGGATGAGGTCCCCAAACCGGCTGGATGCAGAAAGATGCAGTTCCTCAAGGGAACCATTACAACCAGTGTCTGTCCCACCAGCACACACCAGGTCTCATCCACAGCCACCTGCTTCCCACCAGCTCAGGCTCTGACTGCTCTGCCGCTGCCTTCAGGGTAGCTCAGCTTCGTGCCTCAGTTTCCCTCCTCACCTTTTCTGCTTTGCTTTAATCAGAGTTCATGTTCTCCAGATCTCAGCAAAATAGGGATGAAGCCTGTTGCAATGGTGTTTTGAATACACTGGCAATCTAAATTGCTAAATTCATGGTTAACTGCTTGGAAACCCTCCTCTTCCCTGGCCCTGAGATGATCTGCAGGCAGAACCAGTCTGGGCCTTTCCCAGGGCTCCCCGTGACCTTGGGGGTCCTCGGCCATTGCCTGCTGTCAGCGATGCCCTTCACGGGACCGATGAGCAGGGTGACAGTGCAGGACAGTGCATGGTGAAACCAGTGACACCAGCATGGGTGCAGCTGGCTACTGCCCAGCCTCCAGGTCTGGAACACCAGAGCATCTCGAGGGGGCAGAGCTAAAACAGCACCTTGGGGTTTCTTTGCAGGGGCTTGGCAGGGCGAGTACGGGCTCTGCCTTCAAAATTACCTTCATATTCATTAAATTAACTTTAAACACCACATTTTTAGGTGTCTCTTCTGCATTCTCTTCTGGGCTGGGGTCGGCCACAGCAGGTGCTTGGGGACGGGGGTGATGATGGAAGGAGCTGTGTTTCCCCTCCCAACACCCTTGCTGGGGACAGGAGACCTTCCACAGTTGTCCCGACGGATAGTGGAACACGGGCCCATTGGGGTGGGAGGATGTGTCTTGTGATGGAGAAGGTCCCTCAGCCTGCAGGGAGGGATGGGGACATGTCTCAGGGCCACCGCAGCCCTGGGATGCTGCTGCTCCTGCCAGCTCCAGCAAGCCAGGCCAAGAAAGGGGAGAACTGGGCTCTACCCTCCACAAAACCCAAGAGGCATCACTTTCCAGAGCCATCTTTAAGCAAAGACTCCTACGGCCAGATTCATCAAAGGGTCAACAGGGACTGCACTGGCTCGTTTCAAAAATCAGTAACGAGCACAAGTTGTTCCAGCTCCCCGGGTCTAATGAGCGGCTCGGGGTAATTTCTGCTGGGTGGCTGCTGGGTTTCGGGC